ACCAGTGTGATTCTGCAACTTTTAAAAGACACTTTTTTGTTAGATATAAGCTTATGCAAAGATTGGATGCAAAATGTGGAAATAAACACCCCAGCTGCCAGTTCCAAAGAAATGATTCCTTGGGACATGAGGGGGCATAAGGAGGCAAGCCAAGCTGTGCCCGGGCCTTCAATGGGGGAATGTGCCAACCAGCTGGGAGGGGAAGCTCTGTGGTCTAACTCTAAACCACTGAGCCTTGGGCTTGCCAATCAAAAGGTCAGCAGTTCAGATTTGCGTGTCATCCTGCTCTGGTTTCGCCAGAAGCGGCTTAGTCATGCTGGCCACATGACCCAGAAAAACTGTCTGCGGACAAACGCCGGCTTCCTCGGCCTGTAAAGCAAGATGAGCACTGCAACCCCAGAGTCATTCATGACTGGACTTAACTGTCAATGTTCTAAATACATATAGCCACTACCTTCCACACATTCACATACCTGTGGTTTATTTATTTTGGTTTTTATTTATGTTTGTATTTGTTCAACAGTTATCTATAATTGTATATATGGACTATGTATATTGTCATTAGTTCCTGTTTGATAACACTATATTTTGGCAGAAACTTTCGTAACGCCTTTTAAAAATAAAAATAAAAATAATCCATATATTAAAAGTCACTAGTATTTTACAACACATTATTTCCTAATATACACATTTTTAATATGCTTTTGTCTTGATAGATACATTTCTGCAAAGCATTTCCCCTAATATAAGACATTTCCATATGCTATTTTCACTAATGTACAGGGACACATTACTTTTCTCCCCAAAAAACTCACCCTCCTCATTTAATCCCCACAAGAACTCTGTGAGGTGGGTTGGCTTGAGCGCGAGTGACTGGCCCAGGGGTCAGCAACCTTTTTCAGCTGTGGGCTGGTCCATTGTCCGTCAGACCATGTGGTGGTCCGGACTATATTTTTTTTGGGGGGGGGGATGAATGAATTCCTATGCCCCACAAATAACCCAGAGATGCTTTTTAAATAAAAGGACACACTCTACTCATGTAATAATAATATAATAATAATAATTTATTATTTATACCCCGCCCATCTGGCTGGGCCTCCCCAGCCACTCTGGGCGGCTTCCATAAAAACCAAAAATACAATAAAATATCACATGTTAAAAACTTCCCTGAACAGGGCTGCCTTAAGATGTCTCTTGAATGTCAGGTAGTTATTTATCACTTTGACATCTGCTGGAAGGGCGTTCCACAGGGTGGGCGCCACTACCAAGAAGGCCCTCTGCCTGGTTCCCTGTAGCTTTGCTTCTCGCAATGAGGGAACCGCCAGAAGGCCCTCGGCGCTGGACCTCAGCGTCCGGGCAGAACGATGGGGGTGGAGACGCTCCTTCAGGTATACTGGACCGAGGCCGTTTAGGGCTTTAAAGGTCAGCACCAACACTTTGAATTGTGCTCGGAAACGTACTGGGAGCCAATGCAAGTCTTTCAAGACCGGTGTTATATGGTCTCGGCGGCCGCTCCCAGTCACCAGTCTAGCTGCCGCATTCTGGATTAGTTGTAGTTTCCGAGTCACCTTCAAAGGTAGCCCCACGTAGAGTGCATTGCAGTAGTCCAAGCGGGAGATAACCAGAGCATGTACCACTCTGGCGAGACAGTCCGCAGGCAGATAGGGTCTCAGCCTACGTACCAGATGGAGCTGGTAAACAGCTGCCCTGGACACGGATTTGACCTGTGCCTCCATGGACAGCTGTGAGTCCAAAATGACTCCCAGGCTGCGCACCTGGTCCTTCAGGGGCACAGTTACCCCATTCAGGACCAGGGAATCCTCCACACCTGCCCGCCTCCTGTCCCCCAAAAACAGTACTTCTGTCTTGTCAGGATTCAACCTCAATCTGTTAGCCGCCATCCATCCTCCAACCGCCTCCAGACACTCACACAGGACCTTCACCGCCTTCACTGGTTCTGATTTAAAAGAGAGGTAGAGCTGGGTATCATCCGCATACTGATGAACACCCAGCCCAAACCTCCTGATGATCTCTCCCAGCGGCTGCATGTAAATGTTGAAAAGCATGGGGGAGAGGACAGAACCCTGAGGCACCCCACAAGTGAGAGCCCAGGGGTCTGAACACTCATCCCCCACCACCACTTTCTGAACACGGCCCAGGAGGAAGGAGCGGAACCACTGTATAACAGTGCCCCCAGCTCCCAGCCCCTCAAGACGGTCCAGAAGGATGCTATGGTCGATGGTATCAAACGCCGCTGAGAGATCCAGCAGAACTAGGAAACAGCTCTCACCTTTGTCCCTAGCCCGCCGGAGATCATCAACCAGTGCGACCAAGGCAGTTTCAGTCCCATGATGAGGCCTGAATCCCGACTGGAAGGGATCCAAATGGTCCGCTTCTTCCAGGCGTGCCTGGAGTTGTTCGGCAACCGCTCGCTCAATCACCTTGCCCAGGAATGGAAGATTTGAGACTGGGCGATAGTTGGCCATCGTGGCCGCATCTAAAGATGGTTTTTTAAGAAGCGGTTTAATAACCGCCTCTTTCAGCGGGTCTGGGAAGGCTCCCTCACGGAGGGAAGCATTCACCACCCCACGAAGCCCATTGCCCAGTCCTTCCCGGCTAGCTTTTATAAGCCAGGATGGGCAAGGATCCAGGAGACAGGTGGTTGGTTTCACTCGTCCAAGCAGCCTGTCCACATCCTCGGAGGTAACAGATTGGAATTGATCCCACTCAACTTGACTAGACAGAACTCTAGCACTCTCCCGCCCCGGCCCTGCTCCCACGGTGGAGTCTGCTTCTTCCCGAATCTGAGCGATTTTATCTGCAAAGAACTTTGCAAAATCATTGCAGGAGAACATGTGGCCCGTACTGGGCCCCGATGTTGCAGGTGGTTCCGCTAAATTGTGAACCACCTGAAAAAGTCTCCTGCTGCTGTTTTCTGCAGATGCAATAGAGGCGGTGAAGAAATTCTTCTTCGCCGTCGCTATCGCCACTTGGTAGGCTCGACGTTGAGCTCTAACCTGTGTCCGGTCAGATTCGGAATGAGTTCTCCGCCACCGGCGCTCTAGCCGTCTCAACGATTGTTTCATTGCCCTCAGATCCGTGGAAAACCACGGGGCTGTCCGGGCTCCATGCAATCGGAGAGGGCGCTTCGGAGCCAAACAGTCAATAGCCCTGGTTAACTCCACATTCCAGCGGGCCACCAGGGAATCAGCTGAAAGGCCATCAACATGGGATAAAGCATCCCCTACCACTCTCTGGAAACCATTTGGATCCATTAAGTGGCGGGGGCGGACCATCCGAATTGGTCCCACCTCCCTGCAGAGGGGATGGGTCGCAGAGAAGTCCAGTTGCACCAGGAAGTGATCTGACCATGGCACTTCTTTCGTTTCGCTTTTACTTAGTGTCAGATCACCAACATCCATAGAGGTAAACACCAGGTCCAAGGCATGTCCACGGCTATGGGTTGGGCCAGACTTATTCAGGGACAGCCCCATGGAGGCCATGCTTTCCACGAAGTCCCGAGCGGCCCCTTGTAAGGTCGTGTCGGCATGGATGTTAAAATCCCCTAGGACGACCAAGCTAGGTGTCTCCAGGAGAACATCCGCCACGACCTGAAGCAGCTCGGGCAGGGAATCCTTGGTGCAGCGGGGAGGTCGGTACACCAAAAGGAATCCTGTACTGCCCCTATTGCCCAACTTCCAGAACATGCACTCAGAAAACTGGGTCTTCCCAACAGGACGCCTGGTGCAAACTAATGACTTCCTAAAAATCACTGCAACCCCCCCTCCCCGCCCACATGACCTGGGTTGCTGTGCGTAAGAGAAACCTGGTGGACAAGCAGCGGCAAGGACAGGCCCATCTGCTTCATCCAACCAGGTCTCTGTTATACATGCCAGGTCAAATCCTCCATCCATGATAAAGTCATGGATGGCAGTGGTCTTATGAATCATTGACCTGGCATTGCACAGCAGCACCTTCAGGTCATGTGGGTATCCCTTGCTGATTCTAGTATCCATCCGGTCAGGACCAGACCCGGAGGCAGGGATAGTCCTCAGACAACGACTAAACCTGCCTCCTCTGTAATGATAGGGTCTGGTCTTAGCGTAACTCCTCCTCCTACCCGTGATCACTGAGATCGGTTGTCCCAGTGCATCCCGCCCTGTGGAACATGCCCCAGCCATTTTATGGGCTGGGGCCCACTCCCCGGCAGCCCTGAACCCTCCCCCTAAAAACAAAATAACACCTTAAACAAACAACCAAAACCAATAAAACAATACAAACGAAAAATGTAAAAATTACAAAAACATCAAAATAATAATAATAAAAAAAAATAATTCCCCAAGCCCAACCAACATCCATCCCACCCCCACCCCGCACATACAAAAAATCCAAAGAATTAAAAAACAAACAAAAAAAAAACACATTTTAAAAACACTCTGTGCCTCTCCGGCAGTAACAACTGTCCTGGTGAGGCCTGTCAGGCCCCGCCCTGGGCCAGATGGTAAGTGGCAGGAAGGAGCAGGGCCCTCAAGCACTCACTCAGGGAGTCTTCCTGGGCAGCAGGCCGCAAGCAGCACGCAGTCCTTATGAGGCTCCAGGCCCCGCCCCAGGCCAGATGGTAAGTGGCAAGAGCAGGGCCCTCAAGCACTCACTCAGGGAGTCTTCCTGGGCTGATTCCTGGACCGTCTGTGGGCTGGATTTAGAAGGCGGTTGGGCTGGATCTGGCCCCTGGGCCTTAGGTTGCCTACCCCTGAACTGGCCCAACGTCACCAGTGAGCTTCATGGCCAAGTGGGGATTTAAACTCTGGCCTCCCAGGGTCCTTTCCCAACACTAACTGATGCACCACACTCAGATGGAGAGCTGCACTGAAAAATTCAGAGAAGTGTGGAATTTCAAAGGGTGGCTGTGTTTCAGTTTGCATGTTGCCTTGGAAAATGTGCATCAGGTAAGTTTAGCTTTGAATGCAAACTGACTCAGATTTCTCCCTCATCTCTCCTAGCCCAGCATCCTGCTCCCACTGTGACTGACCAAGGGAAGTCCAGGTGCTGTGCATGAATGCAGTAGCCCCCTCCTGCTCCCCAGTGACCCTAGAGACAGCAGTCAGCCATTGGGGCCAGGAGCCACTGACAGCCTTACTTGCCAGTTTACCTCAAGCAGGGTTTCAGCACAGCCACTCCCTCTGAATTGTGGTTCTCCTCAGCAGCTGCCTAATCTGTGCGGTTGGGCTGGCCACCTGAGACCATTTTTATGCATTTGAATGGAATGTGTCCTTTCCTATGAAAGTTCTTCTGGCACAACAAATAGGAGCCATAGGACTCTTTTTGAGTCTGCCCAGATGTTGTTTTATGGAGCCATTTTATTGTGGGGGATGCAGATGTTTTCCCTCAAAAGTGGTGGTGGTGGGAACCCAGCACTCAACCCAATGCTGCAAATTAAATTCCAATACTGGGCCAATATATGTCAAGTTGATGCACATTTTAATACATAACTTTATTTTATAATGTATATTTTTAACTGATGATTTTATTTATATTCCAAATGTTTTTCTTAGGTCAGCTTGTTTTTATTTTCCAACTGTTATGGGTAATTGTAATGTATATTTTATGTAAACCGTTTAGAGGCATTTACAATTAAGCAGCATATAATTTCTGTTAAATAACATGAATATATATATAAATAAATGACCACCTTTGGCTAGCACTTCCATCAAACTGCCACTGGCAGCTATTGGCAAGTGCCAGTGATCTTACCAACGAGCAAGGACTAGAGATGGAAGGATCCATCAGTTTTGGTTTCTTTAAGTTTCTCACTTTTCCAATCTTAAATTCAGATCTCCATGTTCCCATATTAATTTGCATTTTTTTTAAAAAAAGAATGTCATCTTGAAAATTCATCAGCATTTCATTCTTGTATGCAATTTTACCTAATATATTTAATTTCGCATGCTATTCTTCCAAATTTATGCATTATTGTGCATGTTACATAGCTGAAGAAACTGTCAAATTCAAAGAAGGGCAAATTTTGAAGGATGGCTTTGTATCTGTTTGCATGTTGTTTCAGAAAGTATGAATTAAAAACTTGCCTTTAAATGTGAAGGGAATCAAATTTCTTTTCCATCCCTAACACTGACCCAACTATGGATGATGGGTCACAGGGCAGTGGCTCAGCATTTGCCTTGCACACAGTTGCCAATTTAATCCCTTAATCCCTGGTGGGTCTGGGAATGCCCCCGCTCTAAAATCCTGGAGAGCCACTGCCAGTCCGTGTAGACAATACGGAGATGTATTTTTATGCACACTTTACCCTGGCATATGTTTTTTGGTACACACTATTTAGCATAATACTGTAATAATAATAAAACATATGCACATGTTCAATACAAATTTTAATTGTTTGTTATCATTTGTGAGCCCAGGGTTATTGTTGGAAAAGCAGCAGTTAAAATGAGCAAATAAAAGACCAAATTACAAAAGAAGGTGATTTGTAGAAATATTAAGAAAGACTTCCTGGTGGTTGGAGCTGTATAAGAGTGGAACAGGCTGCCTTGTTAGACCTTTTTAAGCAGAGGCTAGATGCCTGCTTGTCAGGGATGCTGTAGCAGCAGATTTTCTACAATGGGGCATTGGACTAGATGCCATTTGGGATATCTTGCAACTCTTTGGTTCTGTGATTTCCGCTTCTTAAAAAGGTAAGAATATAAGAACCAGGCTGGACTGAGCCAATGGCCCATCCACTCCACCATTCTGTCCTCATAGTGCTGCCCAACCAGATGACTCTGGGAAGTCCCCACGTGGGACCTGAGTGCGAGAGCGCACTCTCCACTTGGGACTTCCAGCAACTGGCATTCAAAGGCCTACTGCCTCCAACAGTGGAAGGACTAGCAGCCACTGACAGACTTGTTCTCCATGAATTTGTCTAATCCCCTTTTGAAACCATCAAGGTTGGTGGCCCTCACCACACCTTGTGGGTGTGAATCCATACCTGAACTGTGAACTGTGTAAAGAAGTCCTTCCTTTTGCCTGCTAACCCTGAATCTCCCACCATTCAGCTACATGGAATCATAGATTGGAAGGGACCCTGAGTCTCATCGGCTGAGCTAACTCAGAGTTCTAATACTTTGAGAAAGAAACAGGGAACTTCATCCACTTTCTTCACAGCATGCCTTTTCTTATTTTCCTATTCTGTATGCTAAGAAAAACCCACCACCCAAAATATTATGAAATTTATTTATATATTTATTGGTTCACACACAACAAAACAGAAATTAGAAATCATGGGTGGGGCAACCTCCTTTCTCCATACTTGTATCTTGTTCATTTTGATCATTATTGTTCGGTTTTGCTTTTTAAAAAAAGAAAAGAAAAAGAAAAGAGCCAGAGAGGAGTGAAGAAGCTGTTGCAGGAGCAGTTATCTTAGCCAAAAGTGAAGTTACACCTCTCTGTTTCTTTTCTGAACAGCCACCCCATGACAGAGACATGATGAGGCTTGTGCAGTCACCAGTATTCAGAGGAATGGCACACCTATTACTTGCCAAAAAGGAGGATATGTCTATTAAATACACACAGTTTAGTCTGTTTTAGTTTTGAGTTGCTTGTAAATGAAGTGACCAGTAGGTGGTGCTATGACACAGGTAAACGAAGTCTGTGTGGCCCAAAGTCCCCAGTCTCAGTGTCATCTCCTAATCTGCAGGACAACAAAGGTGTTTCCTGGCGACATCACAGAAGGCCACGGAGGTGGCCTTGGCCGTGGGGGATAGTTTGAGACTCGAGTGGAATAGCTTTGCTTGACTGTTGCCAAATCTGCTAAAATGATTCCTTTGTTATGCAGGCAGGGAAAAATTGACTTTTCTAATGCAAAAATTGGGTTATTTTGAAAGGCAGCCTCTGCATGCTACTCTTCCCTTTCAGCTCTTTGGAGTTACTGCAATTATGTATTATTATGATGTGTTGCTTTCAAGTGAAGTACACAAAGAACTCCTAAAACAGATGCAAGCTATCTTTTTTGGGAAGGGGGGTATTCCCCCCCACACAAAAAAAATCCATAAAGAGTTTTCTGTGAGAAGTTATACTAGCGACATTTGTAAGACAGACTGGAAATATATATTTATATTTTGACTGTTCTTATCTACTCAGTGAATGTTTTCCATTAGTTTTGGGGCAGTTCAATACTGTTGCCAGGCATGCTGGGTAGTGGGAGCTGAGATGTTTTCAGCCCTCCAAAATTTTTCAAGGAGGCGGCTGCCCCCTGCCCAAAAATCCTGTGGTCCTGCCCCCCCCCCGATGCTGTGGGCAGAAGGAGGCCAAGGGTGGTCCTCAGATCTGCACTCCCCAGCGCATGAGCGCTGGCATCACAAAAAGTCATTTTTTTTCAAATGGACTTGTTGTGCTAGGGCCACAGGACACTTTCATCCACTTTAAATATGCAAACTTCAAGTTTGGGGATGCAGTTGAATCACTCCTGCAAAATACCTGCACTCTGGAGGCACTGGGGGGGGGGGCATGGAAAGTTGGTGAGCTGTGTGATGCTTCATTCCAAAGCAAGCAGCTCATTTTCTATACTCTTTTAAAGATATATATATTATTTTTTCATAGCCACTGTGGGATGCCTGCAGTCTTCTGTAGCCACCTGCAGATCCTTCTCTGCTAGACCCAGGAAAGGAAATTCTTTCCTAGGACACACATAGTATGTTGTACACCTTAGCTGCTTCCACCATCTGGATTTATTTTGCTTGCTTCCTGTTGCGCAGGCACCTCCGATACTTTGCCAGTTCCTTCCCTCTGCTCTCTATGGTGCACTCTTGAGAAGCACTATGGGTGCCTGGTGAGAGGAGCAACACCAAAACAGCCTCATGGCCACTTAAGGACTAACAGATGGACTCTGGCAAAAGCTTTTGTGTGTGTGGTTTCATTTCATCAGGTACATATTTACTGAGCACAGAGAAAAAGTGGGAAATGGTGGGTTTTAATCCTTTTTAAATAAAGCGAGACCAGATTACCTGTTTATTAAGCATTCATTCTGATTTGTTTGCAGGGAGGTTAGATGATGATGCATCAAAGCAAGTGTTATCCCACATTGCTTGGCCCTGGCGTGTAGCACTCTTTGCAACCACCGCTAGGAAAATTAGAGAAAATTATATAGCCAAGATAGCCACCAACTGTAAAGGAGATGAATTTATTTGACCCTATCTACATCAAGCTATATTCTATCTTTATCACCAAACTCTGAATATAATTGCACATTGTATTAATTAACATTATTTTTTAATATATTAGTGGCCATGTGACGATTTTAGCCTATAAATTTTATTGTTTAATGTCTTAACCTGTATATCAAGGTACTTTTATATCACTGTTCAGAGTGGGCAATGTCTTGATAATATAAATGTTTTAAGTTTTTTGTATTAATCTAGCATATTTTCTTTTAATTGTTGAGTGATTCTACGTACATTGTGGCAGCCTTTGGCTGTGTGCAATAAAACTGACTGACTGACACTGCTTGGTGCATTTTCCAGTCACTTTCTTTACTGCAAAAAGTTTTTATCTTTTGAAGAATCAGGTTTGTTGTGCAAGACCACCCACTCTACTTTAATTGCACAACACAAATTTGCTGCTATGAGATTGACTCCCCCCCCCGCCCCGAAAGTGAGGGTCTGGAAATGCCCTCAAATGAATATGAAAAACCCCATCGAGTGGTTACTGCACCAGCCTAGGGCTGAGAAGGCTCTTTTTCAAACCAAATGCATCCATGTCATTTTCTGGATGGTTTGGGGCCAGTTAGTTACCATCTCTCAGCCTACTTCATAGGGTTGGTGTGAGGGTAAGATGGAAGGGGGAAGGGAGCGCCATGTACACTGCCCTAAAATGGGTCTGCTTCTGGCTGGTGGCTGTTTTCGGTGGCATGCATTCATTTGTAATTTTCAAATTCATCATAAAATTTCAGCACCACATAATTGTGTTGACTATGTATGTATCTTCTCACAAGACACACATTTCTACCAGGGATGGGTGAATCTGTCATGCACTGGGAAATAACAAATCAGCAGCTCTTTTTGGAACTCCCCAAATAGCACTGGGGATTTTAGACAGTAGATGGGCCACTGGTCTGGCTCTATACGTTCCTATGCTCAGATGCTGATTCTTGGGTAATGAAGGAACCATGTTTCCCACAGTCCTATCCCACTTTGGAATGGTGTGACCCTTCCTTCTGGGACTCCAAACCCTATGTAAGACCAGTCCCATCAGTTTGAAAAGCATAATTTCCACTTTATGCAGTGCTATCCAAGAGGCTTAGATGCAGCCTCAGAAGATTCCTAACTTGTATAGCCCACCTCTTCTAGGTTAGGTGAAAGGGTTGTGCTCAACAGTGGAAACACTACTGATTTGGTTCCTATTTACAAGGCCAGCCAGGTGTGAATTGGCTCAGTTTTAAGTCGTGCTAACTCATTTTTTTAAAGCATGCAAATGTTCATTTAACAGTTGGAATCTTTAAAAATTATATTTAATAGAACAGGTTTTGAAATTAAGTCACATTATGGTGGTGAA